TGGCTTTATTGAAATGTGTAGGCTGAAATGAGATTTGAATATCATACAGAAGTTAACTAGTGGCCTTTTGGAAGAATGGAACATGGTGAGTACAGTAGAATAAATGAATGCCAGAGTGTAGAGTAAGGGAATTTACACATTGCATACAGAAGTAAGTAGAGGGAACTATATGCAGGTCCTTAAGAAATTATGTTTCTGGCCCTGGCTGGTGTGGCTCAGTAGATTGAGCACTGGACTGCAAAGCAAAAGGGTTGCCTGTTCGAGTCCCAGTCAGGGCACATGCCTGGGTTGTGGGCTGCGTCCCCAGTGGAAGGCATGTGGAGGGCAACCACACATTGACGTTTCTCTCCCTCTTTGTCTCCCTTCCCCTCTGTCTAAAAAATAAATAAATAAATATTTTTTGAAAACGAAGTTCTGTTTCTATATTATATGATCATACTCCTCTTTTGAAAAGATCAGGGTGGCTCTTGAATGGATAATGTACTGCAAGACGACCAAAGACGAGGGCTAAATGCACAGGAATGGATGAGAGGACTATTAAGAGGTAAACTCCACAGGTCCTGGTAATGGACAGGATATGGTAAAATGCAGCTTTCGAGAGAAACTGAGTGTAGTGAATGAAGCTCCACAGCTTAGGAAACAAATTTCTACAAACTGTCCTATCACTTAATGATACAAAACACTAGAGAAAGGTCAGTCTGAGGCACTGTGAGTTTGAGGTTCCACTAAGACTTTTAAGTGACAGGTAAAGTATCTGAATTTCTGATTCTGGAGGTCAGAGAAGCAATATGGATTGTAAATGTTAGACACTGACATATAAATTATAACCAAGGTTGTGGGAGTAGATGAAGATAAAAATATGGAAAAAAGAGAAAATGGTCTTAAGGACTCCAAGATTTAATGGCAGAAAGCAAGAGCCTTACTGTCTTTTATATCCTCTAGCCATTGAATTATCCCTCCTTTCAAATACTAATCTCTCTCCTGTTCTCCAGGTTGGATTCCTTCTACTTCATTCAGGCCCTTTTACCAATTGTCTAGAGTTGGTTTCCAGTACTTTTATTTTCGGTCTCTCTCAAACAACCAAACTCCACCCTTGAACTGTTGTCGTCCCCCTCTAGCCACCTCCACCCCACCTCACAGTAGTTTTCTACAATGTAAAATGGTCCACTTTTATGGAATATTCAACTGTAATGGCCATTCGATTCTAAATACAATTATATGGCTTTTCAGTTTACTACTTATCAAATCTGCCCTTCACAAAGCAAAAATAAACCCATTATTACTAAATCAAATAACCACTTTCCCATGCTTATTTTATCTTCTGTTCTTCTGTCCAGCTTTTAAATGTTTATGTTCCCCAAAACTTATTGCTAGTTCTTTTTTTCTTCTCATTCTAAAGTATACATTTCCTTAGTGAGTTTATCCATTCCCTGGGGTAAACTTCCACCATGTACTAATTAATTTCAAATCTGTTTCATCTAGAGACCCTTCTTTTCACATAGCCCACTGTGTGCTGGGTATTCCCTCGGATACTCCAAGGTTCTTCCGATTAAACACATTTTTTTTTTAATCTTTAGAGGGGAAGGGAAGGAGAGAGGGAGAGAAACATCAGTGTGTGGTTACCTCTTATTAGCCCCCTGCAGGGAACTGGCCTGCAACCCAGGCATGTGCCCTGACTGGGAATCAAACCGCGATCGTGTGGTTCACAGGCCCGCACTCAATCCACTGAACTATGCCAGCCAGGGCCAATTAAACATATTTTAAAAAAACAACTCATTTTATGATCTCCCATTCCCTAAAATAATGAACATAACCACAAAATTCTGCCATTCCTCCTTAGTTCTTTATCCTCTGGCACCCACAAAGCTGTTCAAAGCGGACGCCTGTTAATCATGTTTGATTCCTCCTGCCAACCTCCCTTGATCATATCAATTCTAGACCTTATAATCATATTTTTTCCATTGCTTTTAGAAAGAGAAACATTGATGTGAGAGAAACATCCGTTCTTTGCATCTTGTATGCACCCAGAACAGGAATTGCGCACATCCACACCAGGAATGAATCCACAACCTAGGTATGTGCCCGGACTGGGAACTGAACCTGCAACCCTTCAGTTACCAGACCAGGAGTGTCAAATTCATTTTTACTGGGGGGAGGGGGGGGCACATCAGCCTCATACTTGCCTTCAAAGGGCTGAGTGTAATTTTAGGACTGTATAAATGTAACTACTCCTTAACTAGGGGAAAGGAGCTCGGCGTTGCCACCAGGTAGAAACAAGGGGCAGGGCTGGATTTGGGCCGCGGGCCTCGTGTTTGCCACCTGTGTACTAGACAATGCTCCAACCAACTGAGCCACACCAGCCACAGCAACCCCTTATAGTAGTCTCTTAATTCATTCCATTCTCGTTATCCATTTACACTTTCAGATGATCTATTTCCTTCCACCATATGTTTAGTCAAAACATAACAATCAAATATAATTGTCATTACTTAAAACTTTTCATTGATTTCCCATTTCCTATTGTCCCTAAAAGGGAAAAAATTCACAACCTTAAGAAAAATCAGTTAAACCTTCCTCAGTCTCCTCTTCTCTTAGCACTGTGTATAAATCATGAGAACTACTTGCACAGAAGCAATGGCAGCCGATTTACTGAAGGAGTAGTTTTTCCATTCTCTGTAATGGCCTCCATACATTCTCTATAATGCTTACATCACCTAAACGTCCTTTGACACTCAGGTTAAGCTTCCTGCTCAGGGGAAACTTTCCAATGCTCCTCTTAGTCCAAACTAGGTATCTACATCTGTCCTCTAGAGTACTTACAGCATGCTTTATTATTCTATTTACCCATGTATCTCCCTCAACTGTGCACTCAAGGAGGACATAGACTAAGTGTTCTTTCTCCTGTAACCTTAGTGCTTAGCACATCCCCTGGGGTTTAATTAATTAATTGTTATTAATCACTAACACCACACCTAAACATATACCCTTTTAACTCTTCACTTCTACAAATACTTCATTTATCCCAATGTCTTACATTCAACTCTACATACTGGTAAATTCAAATACTTGGGATTATTTGCTTTGGAAGCAAAGATTTTATCTTTTGTAAAAAAAAAAAACTTAAGATAGATTAAATTCATTTATTTTATGATAATGTTATAATACACCAAAGAATAGTCTAATTTCAGGAATTCCTTGGTGTGCATATGTGTCATGCTTCCCAAACTCTATCTGAAGTTGAAAAACGGTTAAAAAACAATTCTTCAGTTCTAGTAATAAGGCAAACAAAGCATCATACTATCGCCTTCAGAAAACTAAAGGGTAAAGTAAACAGAGTAAGAGACAAGGTAATAAGAAGCAAAAACAACCTATTTAAGAAATCAATATTTGCCTTGACTAGCTCACTTGGTTGGATGCCATTTCACAAAGCAAAAAGTTGCCAGTTCCCTGGTCACAGGTTCTGTCCCTGACTAGGGGCAAGAATGAAAGGCAGATGAATAACATTTGTCACACCGATGTTTCTCTCCCTCTCCTCTCCCTCTTTTCCTCTCTTAAAAATAAACCTTTTTAGAAAAATCAATATTTAAGAGCAACAAAAATATCTAAGATGTTATTATTAGATATTAAACTGCTTTGTAACTTTTTTCTTTTGCTCTTCTTACTACTATTACAGGATAAAATTAGTACATATTGTTCGATGTGTTCAAGTGCTGTTCTGTCTTCTAATATGTTCATCTTACCTCCCCCAAATGAGAACATTTTTACTTCAGTAGGCCTAAAGTGACAAGATTAGGTCTAGAAAGACACTATGCACACTCAACAAGTAGTTTATAGATTTATATTGGCAAAGTGAAAGTATCTAAACCTTTTCAGGTGACATATTGCAACGTGGGTTTTTTTCCTTACGATTTTTCTTTAAAAAAACAAACAAAAAAATAAAGAAAAAGATCTCCCCAAATGAAAAACTCCAGTCACTATTTAGCAATACTAATCTCAATTTATCAAATAGAATTTGCCGAGTTTTAATGGGTCACTGAGATTTAAAACAATTCAAAGGCAAGAACTGCAATGAGGTTTGGATGTATTTTGAAAGTGTCATACATCACTGTCAAAACCAGTCAGAACTTTGTAGAACAGGCATGATTTGGGAGTCTTTTTTTAGTTTAACCATGTCAATCATGGATGCTTTTAAATATCACTCCCCCACACACAGAGACACACACATACTCAGTTTTCAGAAAATTTTTAAATCCGAAGACGCAGCTCTAAATTACATTGTCCCCCGCACATAAAATTCTTATTCCAATAAGAAAGCTCTCAATTCCGAGTTCACTAGGAAAAAAAAAAAGTCCATACACATCTAATTCTTATCAGGTTTTTTTTTAAAGAAAAACTCGAGTATTTTGTTATTTGACGGTGCCTTAACAGCAAACGACAATTAAATGTGTGAAGAAGGTTGTCAGAGTAACACTTGTCATTCACACCGCTTATGGAAAAACACTCCAAGACTTACAAAAACACTAATTAAAATTAACGAAAGCTTCTCACAGGGACTTGTCGGAGAAGCATCTTTTGTCATTTGCTCTCTGAATCATAGGTAAACCAAATCGCCTCCAAGCTCGAGTTTTCACTCCAAGGTCTAAATCCAATCCACCTGGCACTGACAAACTGAACTCGGATGCTCAGCAAATAATTCATTAAGGTGAATTCCCGTTCCTTCAATATAACACAACTATTTTTTTACAGGCTTGATAGGGAAGACAGAATGAATTTCCAATCAGAAGGAAAAAAGAAGGGGAACTGTATCTTTCCTCTTTACCGACGAGTCTAGGTGCAAAACCCTAATGGTAGCTGCTTGTTACGTCGCTCCACCAACCGTACCTTTAACTCGTCAAGAATGAGGACACTGAAAACGAGAGCAACTAGGAATGATGGTACCCACCTCCCGCCCCAAAGAAACACGAAAGACACTAACCCCAGACTCAGGTGGGTCTTCTCACCTGGGTCCTGCAGACGTCCACCGTCCTTACGTCGCACTTTTCAGCAATACGCCTTGCGATTGGTAGACTCAAGACTGAGATTTCAGTTCTATTGGCTACAAGAGCCTCAAGGAGGCGGGAGTTTGGGGCAGGCTGTGACTGGCCCGCTGCTGGAGAGCCCAGAGTTTCTATTGGATCTCCGCGAGAAGCGCCAAGATGGCGGCAGTGGGGTCTAGTGGCTCCGGCACCGGGAGTACTGGGTCTGTGGCGGCGGCAGCAGCCAGCAAAAACGTCACCAGTTTCCAGAGGAAGGGTCCTAGAGCCAGCGGTACCGACAGCGGCGGCTCTCGACTGGTGTCTATTGCAGGCACACGACCGTCGGTGCGGAACGGACAGCTGCTGGTATCAACCGGGCTCCCAGCCCTGGACCAGCTCTTAGGTCGGTTCAGAACTGAGATCTGGGCTCAACAGAGGGAAAACTTGGGGAGGGGACTTGCTGGGGGAGCTGCCCCGACCTTCCGTCTCTCTGTGGCCCCTTAGTCCTCGGACCTGGAGAGCACAGCCTGGTCTGATAGAGATGGATGGGAGGAGTTGTTGCGTGGAGATGTGTAAATGCTGTTAACTAAACCTGTTCCAGCGCTCCCCGCCCCCCGTTCCTGCCCACCAGCCTTTTTCTAGACTACGAAGAGATCCCGCGTGCTTTTACCTGGGTCAAGGGGGACTATTCATGTTTGGAGACAGTTTGGCTTTCATCTCTAGAATCCCCACCTGGTCTCCCGCTAACCCCAGGTAGTTGGTGGTTTGAGTTAACCCTGCAGAAGTTTATATCATTGTGAGAGCTGGGTTTCGTTATAAAATGCTGGGGGGAAAAAATAACCTCCCGTCTTTCACTGCGAGGCAAGAATTCTTATCTACCGGTTCTGAATCTTTTAACAAACCGTATTGGCTTTAGGAGAATGGATATTAAAGGTTTATGTGAATCCAAAGTAGCTGCAGCCTGTTATTGATAGTGACAGCCATCCCCATGTCTGCATCTGCGTTAAATACGTATATACGCTTTTGATAGATTCTTTTTCTCTGTATTCTTTGCTTCCAGTAGTTACATTCCAAACGATATGTTCCAAGTTCACATTTTAACGAGAAAGAGACATTCAGTTCCTAGTCTTTCCTATATAATCCCAGAAATTTTTTATGACAAGCCGGTTATGAATGTGCTTGTTTTGTGACTGTTCTATTTGAAATAATTGACCGGATTGGATTGGGAGGACAGAGCTTACATGTAAATAAAGATTGTAAATTAGTTAATTCCTATCTGAATGCTGCATCATTAAAAATGGTCCATTTGTATTTCATAACTTTTTAGTAGTATACGATGTGTGTTAGTTAAATCTTGTGCACTTTCATAAAATATTAGAAATGCCATTGCTTGTTCTTGTATTTCACTTGACACTTTATCTCTGTAATTCTTATGTCCCCACCCCACCCCAAGGGTTAATGCAAAGGAAAGTGACAAGACAAGGAACCTGTGAGAAAGAATATGGTCTCTTGGCCTGTTATTTCTTGTCCTTAACTGGATCCTGGTTATTTCTATGTAAATTTATGTATTTTTACCTAATTGTGTCAGGTCTGTTGCCTTCCTATATTGCATGTTACTATAAATAAAAGTGATTCAGAATATTTAGTTAGTAAATATTTATCTCCCCTTTATTTTTCTCTTGTGAACTTGGAAGCTGTTTTCAAGTTTTAAGTTCAAATACAGGATCATGCCCAAGTGGTGTGATTTTATTTATTTATTTATTTATTTATTTATTTATTTATTTATTTATAAAATGGGTGATTACATATGTGTGGTTATATATTTTATATATACTCGTGTGTGTATAAATTCAACGGGGATATGTAATTTCACTCACTTGATCCTGAAACTCTCCAAACAAAAAGGTCACATTTCCCATGTTACACCTTCAGTTCCTCATTAGAATAACGAAATGTGTGTACACAGTTGTTGTTAGAAGATTTTCAGTAAGTTCTTGATTGAAAGAAAAATAACATGCAGGAGAAAAAACTGGGCAAGAAATTATGAAATATGTAGGATAGAACTCTGAAAACAGACTCAGAGATTAAGTGACATGAACAGTCACAAACACAGTGACAGCCTGGACTAATAATCAGGCTCCAGAAGTAGTCGTCTACCAATGCTCCAGCTCTTTCACATTTTTTAGAACTTATTTCAAGTGGTTTTAACCACTTACTGGACCTGGGACTAATGATTTAACTGTAGTCCCTTAAAGTACCCACCCAAAAGTTACCCCAAAGCAACTTCCTCGTGTATTTCTACAGTGATATAAACTCGAGCAGTAATTTCAAAAATTTCCGGATTTGCTTGGGCATGGGAACTCCAGTATTTGACTGTGACAAGCTTTTTGCTAAAAATCAGTGTTCATTAAGATGATTAAAGTAAGTATCTATTTTGGGATATTTTGAAATATTTTTACACATATATAGTTAATTTTCAAAGTGCAAAGAAGTAGAAGTCATAATGGGAGTTACTACACTTAGAGTAATAAATATCTGCAGAAATATTTTAGTCGTTAACTTCTTAGTGACATGTTTGTATTTTGATGTTCTATTTTGTATGGCCCTGTGGAGCAAACCCTTTACATTTGTTTATCATTAAAACAGTATTTGAAAGTGAAACATTTGGTTGCTAATATGTATACACATAGCTATAAGCAAAACATTATATTGTTACTCAAATGTTATTTGACACAGATTGTGACAAGCCTAATATGACCATATTGTGAGAAAATGTAACAAGTACAATATTAGGATGATGAAACTACTGTGACATTGTGATTGTTGCCAAAATATGCATTAAGTGATTACTGTGTAACAAGTAAATACTGTATTGTCACTGCCATTCAGTGCAGTGATATTTTATTACTACCACTGTGACATCATTGTAATTTTAAGCATAGCTGCAAAGTATACTTAAAAGCTATCACACAGGCTAATTGAATGTTAGTCATTTAATGATAAGCTCATATTCCCATTGCTTACTGCAAAAACAAAGTGTTTTATAAATTTGAGAATTCCCTATATCCACATCTTTTAAACATGATCTAATCATATTAAATATTTTTGTTCTGGCAACTTAATTTTGTTAGATATTGATATATATTTCCCAAATGAACTACTTTTCAATTTTTCAGGTTCTGAGATTTCTTAATCCAGTTTCTGAACCCCACTCTTTCAGGAAATTTATATTGTTTGATGATATGATATGTAAATAATCCATTGTTCTTCCAGGAATTTCTAAAGAAAGATTATAGTGGGTAAAATATTCTTGCAGAATTTCTTTTCCTAACATATAAAGTATAGTCCATTTTGGGATCATGATGTCTAATCTGGGGGATTTATCACCCAGCCCCATTCTTCAGAAAGAAACTGGAAGGAAAGATGACTTCAGATTTGACTGGATTAACCTCTTTGCTGTTTAAAATTTACTAAATTTTGGCAGTCAAGTGAATGGCAGGTAGGGATTTGGGGTAAATGATATCCGGGAAAAGTATTCCAAAGAAGCTTGACGGTAGCTGCCATTTTCAACACTGATGTCAAAAAATAAATACTGGTGAGCTTATGTCCTTTACTGCATCTTACTGTAGAGAGGGGGGAGAAGTACACTGAGTTTAGACTATAGAATAATCCTAGTTATGATATTTTAGCAACTAAAATCTGTAGCTTGTTCCTTTGTATTTTTACATAAAATTATTTCATGTGATTTCATTTACATAACTATTGTCACTGTTCATAACATTTTCTGTTTTAATTCCTATATTTGCCAGCCAATAATTGTGATAATCTAGAATTGTCGGGGTGTTTATACTCCTAGAGAAAGAAAAAGTAGACTTATTAGTGAAATAACTGAAATTTGAGGTATGACATTCAGTACTTCAGGAAGGAAAGGGTGTGAAATTGCTTTTTATGTTGCATGTTCCCTAAAATGCTTTCTATGATTTTAAGCAAAACTTGAACTTATTCTTTTATAGAGAGTACTGGGAAGGACTTTGTATAACTCACCATTATCTTTCCTGTTTTCTTTTCCCTTTTATTTTCTCTGACTTTGAAAAAGGAGATGCCCTGGTTGTAAATAAGGTGTTACTTCTCAGCCTTCATATTCTAATATATTAACTTGACCTTATTTACCCCAAATTTATAGCTTCATTAGAGTTTTGTTTTAAGAAGTGTGGGGATTGAATATTTTTCTTTAAAATAATATGGATAAAATAAAATACTAATTTTCTAACTTTACACAAAATTAAAAAATCTTTTTCCTCCTATTTTAAAAGCCATAAAATAGGAAGATATTGGTATTTAATTGCAAGATCTTAAATTTTCTTAGAATGTTTTTAAAGCATTAGATTTTTTCCACTTTAAAGACAAAACACTCATTTTTAATGTAAAACCCTGATAAAATTAATATTTTAAAATACCAAACTCAAAAAAGTATCTTCAAGCTTTCAAACTTGTGTAATCTTACATTTGGATATAATATTCTACCACCTGTATTTTTAGTAAGCTGGAAATAAATATATTTCTAAACAAGGTCTAGAAGTAAAACCAAGTGTTTATTTGCCTTATGACTTAGAAAGTGTCTCGGTAATTTCTGCAAGATACGATTAAAGGGGAGAGGAAGTGGTAAGAAAAAGATCATTTTAGTTCATTGTATGTTTTATCATAAAATAACATGATTGCTTTTTTACCTTGTTATTTACCTGGGAAATATTTTAGTGGACTATAGGGGAAAATATTTCTATTTTAATTGGGAACTATAACTGAAAACTGTTGCTTTTGAAAAGCAACATTAGATAAAATGATTAATGGGTTACTGGTTTTAAAGATACATGTATTAAAAGCCAGTTTGGGTTGAATATATTGTGTCAAAGTATCCTGTTGTGTTTAGTTAGTTAAACTTACACATTTTTGGTGGGGACATGACTACACACTTACTCAAACTTACTCTAGCTTAAAATATACATAGAATTTAAGCATATCAAGTGAGTATATCGAAATACTTTATACA